GCTTTAATGAATGCCAAACTTTCGAAACTGTAAGTATCAACAACTCTTATAACAACATTATATTGTTCCATTCCTTGAGAGAATGATCCACGAAAAGTTGCATCACCATCAGTCATTAACAATGTTGGCCAGGTAAGGGGATTGGCAGGATCTTCATATATTTCTTTGATTGCATTCCAAACTTCCAAACTATTTCTTGATGTTAATGAACGTCCAGCCTTGAAACGAGTTGTCACGTCAATTACTAGTAAACTGCAAACAAATACCCTTATACCATCTTGATTATCACGAACATGAATTAATATATCGCACTGATGAACTTTGTTGGGAATCTTGATCTTCTGGAAGCTTGCTTCAGCTTTGCACTTTTGTGGGGTGAGATATATTTGGTGATCATATTGATTATCTAACCATTTTGTTATATCTTTGAGTCGAAAATGGTCATATCCTTCTTCCCGACACGCCTTCTGCAATTTTTTACTATTTGGATGGAATCCAGGTATGTTGTAGTAAATTAAACGTAGGACAATTTGCAATTCCTTATTAGGATTAATTATAACAGTAGGTATACTCATTTTCGACACATTCTACTATAATAATAAATTATGTGTTGTGCAATAAAGTCTAAATAAAATTGAGCATAGAAGGTAGGTGTATTTATCGTTATTTCACGAAGGATGTGATCGGTGTATATATATGTGCTTTAACACTAACTCCGTTATTATATTTCGATGGATAATCTTGTTGTGACCATTAAGAAATTACGTATTCAGATCCAGAAAAATGAAGATTACATTACTTACCTGGAGAAAGAAATCACTACAAGGGATAATGAGATCGATATTCTCCGGACGCAAGTAAATGATCTCAAAATAAGACTCCGGAAAGCAGAGGCAGATGCTCAGTCCAATGACAAAAATATATCTGTCCTCGAGCTCCAATTGGAAGAAATGGGTGAAGATATTTCGTTGCTTCAACATAGACTTCAAAAAATAAAAGAAGGGATGTCATTAACCACCCCAGGTACATCGGCTAGTGTTTTTACATTATTAAATGAAACAAGAAATAATATTAGGATTTTATTTGATTCTGTCAGAGGTGAAAATGATCTGTTAAATGGCGAAATTGATAATTTGCAGACCCAGACCGAATTGAAACTCACTCAAATTCAAAACAAGTGCCACATATATGAGCGTGAAAATAATCAGCTCCAAGAAGGGTTGGCTCAAGAATATGAGGATGAAGTGGGGCGTCTTCAAACAACTATAAATGAGCAGAGGGATCGAATAGATGAATTGGGCAACGAAGCTCGAAATTGGTATCAAAGGGCCAATCAGTTGCAAGGTCGCTATGATACAGTTCTTAATGAAAGAGATCGATACAGAACGGAGTGCTTCCAACAAGAAGAAACTCTTAGGGGGATCCACGAAAATATGGCCCATGAAGGTGCAGATCAATTGGATTTGGAAGATGAGAACGCCAATTTAAAAGAAGACTTGCGCATAGCTGGTTTAATAATTATTGCTCTACGAGTTAGACGCCTAATTCTTATAAATAGGGGGTATGCATTATGGCAAGAGGCTAATAATAGAGCACGGCGTTACAGACGCAGGTACACTCTTACCAATTCGCATAACCTTTATGGGCGTCTGACTATTCGGGCTCAAAATAGGCGCAATGTAGAACTGCTGAGAGAGAAATTTGCTTTCCAGCTATTGATTCAGCGATACAATAGACGATTAATAACTTGTCATAACCATGGTCAGAATTTACAGTTACAACTAACTACAGCTCAGAACGATTTATTTTTGAGTGATACCCAACTTAATATCAAGTGGGGCAAGTGGAAAAATAGAACACGGAATGCTGAGCAATTAATTTTGAATTTACAAGGACAAATTTTACATTTACAGAATAATCCACCTATAAATCCAAACATGGCGGCCGCCAGCAGACAACATATTTATCAAACTATTCAAACATGTCTTGCCCACATTCCATCATATATTGGGCAGGAACCACCAAATGATTATTGTAATAGGATTGAAACAGCTATCAGCTATACTGATACGATGATTGCTGATGCCAATAATGCAAATAACAATACTTTTACTGATGCACATAAGGCAGATATCTATAAATCGAAAATGGCTGGAAAGTATTTACCAGTTCCGGCTCAACATGCAGGAAATAATATTGATACTCCAGCCCGATTCAGAGTATGGCTTGGAGATACCTATTTACAAAGAACAGTTGGTACTCGCCAGTCTGCTATTCAAAGATTATCTCAAGAAACATTTAAGACTGATGATAATCCAGATATATATGAAGCTAGAATTCAAAAATACCTATTAGGAGTGCCCGATAATGATGATAATGCTTTGGGATTTCTTATGGGGCATTTACCTGGTGAGCTTTTTATTCGGATGGAAAGAGCAAATCCTCGTAGTATCACAGCTTTCTTTACTTCACTTAAAGAATTATGGCTTAAGCGTCAACCGTCACTTGGCTATGGAGGCTCAATTCCCAATCAAATTCCTCAAGTTTCAACTGTTAGTGAGCAACCGTCAAATACAGTTTCAGCTTTAATTACCCCCGAAGAAGTAGATAGAAAAATTCAAACAGCGGTTGCTTTATTAGAGAATCAAAAGAGTGAATCCAACAAAATACGTTCCGATCCAAATTTATACTTGAATAGTATGGATTCTGATCCTTCCTTTTTTCAGAATCTTATGAATATAATGAAGGATATTTCTAATCACCTCTCTAACCACGAAATAACCGCTTCTGGCAAGGGAAAAAAGAATAACTCTTCAAGTAGTGATGACATGGATGCAATTACAAAAGGTATGGCAGAATTATCATTAAATGTGGCTAAAATCAAAAAATCTCTACGTAGATGTTCATATTGTCATAAGACGGGTCACACTTCCCGCACTTGCCCTAAAAGAAAAAAGAGCAAAAGAAAAGCTCGCGTACACCATATTAGTAAAAATGATAACTCAGAATCCGACAGTGATTGCTCTGATAGTGAATCTGGAACAGAGTCCGATTCTGGAGAGTCATCAGGTGAATCCGATCATAGTATTGATGTACATTTTTCTAAATCAAAAAAAAAGTGACCCGTAAGAAAAATTCTGGCAAATCGTCTTCATTAAAATCCAAACAATCCAAGGTTAAAAAAGAGAAAACAAAATTTCAGGTTCCCCAATTCAAGTCCCGCAAGGAAAACCAAAGCAAGCAAACAACTTTAGAACAGACTATTCGTAAGATTATTCGAAGTGAACTTAAAGAAATCATACCACCATATCTATTACAGAGCTTTGAACCTAAATTTAGTTCCATAAAACCCGCCCACGCAGAAAAGTTACCTCCCATTCAGGATAAGATTTATCGCGAAACAGCTTCAGAAATACCCGA